AGAGGCCGCTGGGGAGACCTAGACGTAGATGGGGGGATAATGTCAGGCAGGATCTATGGGAGATAGGAGATGAAGGAGACTGGATTATGTCGGCTCAGGACAGGATCCGGCGGAGGGCTTTGGTTAATTTGGTGATGAATCTTTGGGTTCGGTAAGTATGACAAAGCAAAAAAGCTACATTGTCATGTTTTCTGGTCAAAGAAAGGTTACACAAATTGTTTGCAGGTGTGCACTGTGAGAATGGATTACATGTGTGTCCATGTTTTGAGAATTACCATATAAAACTAAACTTACAAATACTCCAGAGACTGATAAATATTCTTGCTGGCATACAAGGGCAGCAATATTTTGGTGGTCACATGTAACAAAGTACTATGTATTTTAAATTCAAAAAAGGTTTTTGTATGGATGTATGACTTTTAAAGAATAAAAAAATTATTTTAGGGTTAATCTAAATTTTGTTTTCATAAATACACCTTTCATTCCAAAATTTCTAGAGTTTAGTGGCTTAAAAGATGCATACAGTCTTTTGTAAGCAAATATTTTTTCATTTAAACTAGGTTAATTTTTTGTATAACTGCAGGTACATAAACCTACTACCAATAGGGTCTCAGGTTTGATTCTGGTAATTGCCATAAGAAGTTAAAATAAACTGCATAAAAGAAAACTTTGGGCTGAAAGACAATGACAAGTAGATCAACCTCCAGAAAACAAAACACTATATTTGATATGTGCAACATTTCTGGAGATTGACCTACCTTTTGCTGTCATTAAAAGTAAAGCTGTCCAGCTACATGCATTGTGGCACTCGGAGGGGAGAAGGAGGAAGTATAGCTATTACTCATTCTTAACCTTGGCATTTGATAGTGGCAAGTGGTCAGCATCATGCCCTTGACCATGCTCTATCCCTGGGAAAGGACCCTAGTACCTACTGAACAGGAGGCTGGGTGCCGGTCTGGATGCAGAGGCTACAGTCAGTCACTATACTGACTGAGCTATCCCACCACCCTCACTGTCATTAAACCAAAGATACTGAGTCGTAAACCATAAGTAAGAGAGCATAAGAACAATTAAAAAGCTGGTTCATCATGTTGGTGTACAGACATGTCATACAAAAGCAGTGAAAAATCATCACATCACTTATTAACAGTACTTACTTGAGCTCCCCAAGCTTTCAGCAACTGGAGTGCTGCTGTACCAACTCCTCCAGAACCACCAAGAATCAGGACTCTCTTTCCTTTAGGAGGACTCAAACATAAACCACCAGTCACCTTCAAAGCTGACCATGCAGTCATGGCAGCATATGGAATAGAGGCTGATTCCAACAGAGACAGAGTGCGAGGTTTCCTATGTACCTAAAAAAAGCAAAATGAACTTCACACATTGGTCATCAAACACCAAAATATCATTTATGAGACCACTTGGTTAATTATGCAAACCTTCATAACCTGTAACTTAGGACATGAGTATATGCACCATGAAATTGGTTAGAACAATTAAAGTGAATTAAGATGAACTCTATATTAAAAAACACACAAGCAGTGATAAAATTCAGTTTTGAAGCTACAGAGTATTCCTCCACAAAGCTGATTCAAATGCACATGTATCATGTCAATTTAATTTTTTAAAACAAAATCCAAAATAGTGTTGACATAAGTCAACTAAAGTCGGTTTCTTGCAGTACTATGTCAAGAATAAAGTAAAATATCCCATCTATAAAGTCTCCACAATACACACTTTTTATATCACTGTAGAATTTTGACATTTTACTCAATAGAAATTAACTTTACCCTATCCTGTATCCTTGATAATACCTTCCCCACCATAAGGAAGGTTAACCAGGGCTGTGAAGTCGGAGTCGGTAAAGATGTACTGACTCCGACCTCAATATAAAATCTTAAAAAAATACTATTTTAACACTTTTGCTACAGTAAGAGCCGCCAGTGGCCTCATGTTTAGGGAGATTCAATGACGTGTTGAGCCACATGGTGTGGGAATAATGCTTTGTAACTTTGGCTCTGGTACCTTAAGAATACAAACTGTCAACAAATCAACCGATTTCCGCAATAACCATTAGACTTATACTTAAATATAGGTTATAAGTCTAAAAAGTAGGCGATGATTCACATGGTGATGATGAAATGTCTTATGGTACCATTTACCATTTTAGTAGGTTTACCATTATTAATACATACTGAGCTTTTATGAAGGAGTCAGAGATTTAAAAACTGAGGAGTCGGAGGTTTTGTGCACCGACTCCAAAGCCTTAAATTGTAAGGTCTGTTGTGTGTTTCTGCATTTGGGGTTGAAAACCATACATGTGCTAGCTAATCAAGATGACCCAAATAGACAACTCTCCAGCTTAGATGTAAACAGTATCTTATTTGTGTACAATCAACAAACAGTGGCATTATTTTTCCAAGCAAATAACATATTCTTAGTACTAATGGTAATGTTCATCAGGACCTTAAACTATACAATTTTAAAATTAATCTGTATATTTATTATGTAAAGAAACAGTTGTGTTTTCTCAGGGTCTCTGCAATCCAGACTTTGTTAACAGACTGCTCTAACATCATGTTCAACCTTGTCTTTTAAACATATGATGAAATTAGTATGCTCACTTACCAAAGACTTATTAACTCTCACAAACTCTGCATGACAGCCTTGCTGATGTGGAGGAAGAGCTCCCCAAACTTCATCTCCAATACTAACATCATGTCCAACTCCTAACCCCTTGGCGACAACCCTTCCTGCAAAATCTCGTCCAAGAACTAATGGAAATTCTAATATTTCAGAGAAACTACAAGCTTCAACTTGTCTTGCTTTATTTAGGAACACTGACCCATAGCCACCTGAAATATGAAAACATGTTTAAATATTTATTAATTTTCAAAATGTTACACTCAATAAAAATGTGAGACATGCAACACATTCACCACAATCATAAAATAAGAAACAGTTACTCAAATAAAACAATATTCACAGACAAGACTATGAAAGAACAAAGAGAACTATAATATAGAGTGTCCTATCTATCAGTGTCAATTAAAACCATATTTGAAGTTCCAGTATGAAAAGTCCATTCATTAAATTTAGTAAGACTTTCAAAGAAGAGAGAAGAGAAGAGAAGGTTGCTCTGATACTGGATTCTTCAAAGAACTGTGATATAAAAAATTAAGGTATCTTGGTGCATCTTAGCACATTTTATTATTAATGACATAGATAGGACAATATAAAACTGATGCAAAATTAGGCGACTTTTGAGTGATGGGCTGGTTTTAGGGCCACTAAAATGTAGTGAGATGGAGGTCAGCAAAGGGTGACATTATGCCTTATCCAACTACATGACATGAAGCAAACTGAAAATCCAACAGAAATATAAAATGCATATCAAGATAGAATGACAATTTGTCTAGTTTTGACATGATTTAAAATGTTTTGTGCTCACCGATTTTAGTATGTCACATGATCAAACTTGGAAAGTGTTCTGTTTTTGGAATGTGTATCTAAAACACGTACTACAATATATTTACAATTGTGTTGCAGAAGAATAAGACCCTGCTATCTAAAGAACCTCAATTATAAGGGTGCAAAAATCAGTAAGGGGTGACTAGTGAAACCAAATACCATATTTAAAATTGAAATGCTCAAATATCACTTTCTCTTACCCATCATTAATACATCAATGGGGTTTACCGATGACGCAGATATCTGAATCATAACATCATTTGGCCCTTTAATATAGGGTACTCGAACTGTTTTTGACAGTTTTAATTCTTCCAATCCTCCATAACAGTGTATTTGCCATGCCAGCATTTTCGATCTGTTATATTCCTTAGAAACTTCAGGAGCCATTGAATAACCTCTATTTTTCGAAAGAAACCAGCTAATACTATCTATTTTGAAGAATGGAGACAAAAATTTCTGCTTATGCATGATGGTTGTAGTATATTTTGCAACATTCGAAAATGACAATTACATTAAACACAAATTCTCAAATGCTATCGACAGAAAACCATAATACCATCAAACAGCCATCCTCCATTACAGCACATTCTCTTACCGCAGGCATCAGAGATAAATTACCTTTATTAACTGTGACAGACCCTTCCTGCCACAGATAATACCAACATCCTGCAATATACGTATTGGCAAGAGCATAAGTTTACTGCCGCGCCATGTATTGGTGAAGGAATGAACTAATGTAAAGACAAGTGAATTGCCGCGCCATCTGTTGGAAAGGTATTAACTAATGGGCCCGCTAAAATTTTCTGACCCGTTTACCTCCTTCGGTATCCTATAACCCGGATAGGAACATCGAGTACTGGAAGCTAGGTGACCTGCTTCGCCCTGTGTTGGCAGAGACATGAACTAAAATAAGTGAACTGCCGCGCCATAACTCTCGGTTTACAAACGCTCACTTTACGAACATTCGCTGTAACGAACGTCACAATTCATAAAAAAATTCTTAAAGTCGCCAATAGATAGAGTTCCTCATAAAACGAAATGCCAAACGTGTAGTGAACATAATTGTAAGATTTAAATCAATAAACTTTTAAAAATGTATTTATTACAATAATTATCGGAAAATTATTACTGAACTGTTCTTGGATATTAAAATTAATCTAGCCAGTAAACAAACGTTGGTTTACATGCCAAGCCGCGTAGAAAGTTTTCTCGTGGAAAAGAAATCGGTGATTCCCCCTATTATAATATAATAGGATCATCACTTGCTTTGTCAAGGTTATCTTAGACGGTCAATTGTAGTTCTGCATTTGGTGACTTAAAAATATATTTTTAAAAATTTAAGCGGTCATGGTTCCAAAGCGAAATAGTAGTGCTGGTACTGATAAACCGTATATATACATTATAATGTAACGTATTGTATAGACCAGTGATATTCAACCTTTTTTGTTCAGTCGGTATAGTGACTAGCTACGGGCTGGACGACCGGGGTTCGATCCCCGACGGGGGCAGAGGATTTTTCCTCTAGCCTCTGCGTCCAGACCTGCTCTGGGGCCCACCCAGCCTCCTCTACAATGGGTACTGGTGGTAAAGCCGGCCGGGGCGTGATGCTGACCACTCACCCCCATCTAGTGCCGAGGTCAAGGAAGAGAGGAGCTATACCGCCACTCACCCCAAACGCCTACATGGCGTATAGTGGGACAAACTTTACTTTTACCCCCAGATATAATTTCTCTTCCAACTTTGTACCCCAAAGTTGTTGGTGTATAATTCAAGTTATACACAGTATATAATCTACATCTAAAATAAATTAAATAAATTACATTAATGATTATTCAGTGTTTATCATAAAATAATATATTTTTTTAAATTTCACGTACCCCCTAAGATGTCTTCGCGTACCCCCGCGGGTCCGCGTACTCCAGGTTGAAACCACTGGTATAGACCATTCGATGTTTAGTGCATGGTTTTAATGCTTTAAAATGGCTGCTAACGTATACGATACGTATCGTAAAAGCTCAGGAATGTAAGATACGTACACATAACGAACAAAAACGCATAACGAACAACGTCTTCGAACGGAACTCTTTCGTATACCGAGAGTTGTCTGTACCAGAAAGCAGACACCTCGCACTATGCTCTACATATTTTAAAATTCGTGCGCGACTACGTTTTCGATGAATCTTTATACATTCGAAGTTTATCACTAAAAAATCTTCAACATCTTAATATTTCGTAATATCCGTCAGTAATGGATTACAGAAAACTTATATATGTGATATTTCTAATCCAAAAATAAGTTATTCTAGTATGATTTCAGAAAGTGAGGCACTTCTTAGAAAACTGCATAGTCTAATGCACATACTCTGTTATTGCTTCAAATACATGGTATAAATATTTGAAGACCTCTAGAAAAAAATTTTCGAAGGTGGCACGTGGTAGTATTAATACAAGTCATGCCAGAGCTAAAAATGTACGCGTAATTGAAATACCACATTTATCGTGGTTTCTTCGATTGTAATAATAAAATTGTACGCATTTGGTTATATATATAAAGCATCCTTATTGTAAATACATATTTTCTTAATTAAAGAACTCTTCTAATGAAGTTCTTACTTCAAAGTAGCCTGAGCTCAATCGGCCTCAACTAAAACATTATTTTCCGTTCCTGTATTAGGTGGTCTGTGAGGTCAGATGGTGTGCAGTTAAATATAAGTACTTTTCCCCCGTTTTCTAAAGAAGGCGTGCAACTACTTTACTAGTATTTCCCTTTAAAAAGAGTGTACAGATAGTGAAAGGTATCAGAATTTGTTTTATTTGTTACATAACAGATGAGAGTTCAGGAAGTTGGAGAAATCTGGGTCTAGAGCAACCAGATGGACATTATTCTCGTGTTTCTTAATTGGAGCAGTTTCTTGTGTGGCGGGTGCGAGAAAGTCTTTCAAAAAGGGATGGTGCATTAACTTACGCATACTTTCCTGTAAGTTCTATGCGTCTGAAGGTTTGAAACTATAAATAAATACTAGACGCGCGAGTTGGAGAAATAAATGTAAAAAAATCTCAATTAACAGCATTAAAACTAATAATAACTTAACGACATGCAACTAAATACCTATAATTACTAATATTCGAAGTTTGAATGTTGGTCCGAAGACCATTTATCCTATGATGGCTGTCCATCGAGTTACAGCGCTACGTAGTCTGATATTAGTCAGCCAACTTTACAGAGGTCATTGCCGCTTCCATCATCAGGGTGATGAGAACCTTAAATCGTACTGAATTCTTTCCGTTCTACTGAATATTAATTAATTTATAACATTTTTTTAGTTGTTACAAAATTCTGACACCAGAAACTAAAGGCGCTTGTAGACCAAAGAAATGGAATAAATTATATATCGGCACCTGTGAATTCCAGGATTAAACTCTGTAGTCTTTATTATTAATGGCCAGATTAATTAGTTCAGAGGGTTGCTATGAACTTGGCACGCAGTATGCATGGCAGTAAATGCGTACTGCGAAGATACGTACCTATCTTCGTACCAACCGCCGTGAGAACCTCAAATCCTACTAGCTCTTCTACCGAAACGTTAATCGCGTGTCTTCAGTACAACCATACAAATGTCCGGGTAGTACATTAAATTAGTCCACGATCATTTCCGTCCCAATGTTTTCCTTGTCATCATACATAACCTTCTAATAACATTTGGCGATGCATGGCTTTGCAGTTGATTCAGCGGTTTTAAGTAATCTACGGACAATATTTAGTTGTCATCACCCATCTTTGCCGAAAACGCGGTAGTCGTTCGACGTCGTATCGATAGCTCATTCGATGTTTTAGGTTAATAGTATTACCGTTCACCAACAGAGAGCTCTGTGCCTGTCTCAATGAATTTTCATGTTGTAATTTCCCTGATTATTTAACAATGGCACATTAATGGGATACTGCTTTAAAAGATGATGGACTTTACAAGCAAAAAGTGACTGTCTACACAACAGGGCCAAACCACCAAAGGAATACATCAACATTATACCACTGGAACCACTCGGAGACAATCTAAAATTGATGTCAAAAAGTGGGCAGGGTGGAGGTGATGGTTTATGAACCAGATTTATCTAAGGACAGGATCCAGTAGCTGGATCGTATACAAGCCATCGGGTTCTATAAAGCGACGAATTTGTTGACCAGCTGAGCTACTATTAGCCTATCAAGAAGTATTCTGCTCCTTGGAGGCTTAATTTTCAAAATAATCTTCGAGATCTACCGACAACAGCACGGTGAAAACACTTACGTAATGTACGTACATCACACCGCCTTGCAGTTAAAGTGGCCCGTCACTTGTTTCCGTTAGTGTCTCGGGATTCGCAACACGTCTTGAAAACTGGGTCGGTCGCAGAGAAGCACACGTGACAATGCTTTAAGGAGCCGAGCAGTGTCGCATGTCTGCTCATAAGCGAACTGAAAGTATAAGGCTGGTAAAGTTGTAATAAAGGTCTGTGATAATTGATATTACGCTAGAATTATGTAACGGGACACCAACATTCCTCTTCCTTCGTTATTTTGTGCAAAACCTGATTCTAAAGAATGATTACAACCAACTAGTAGCAAATCCGTAAGAACTCTCTAGAAGTTTACTTCAATATCCGTACCAGGCCATCGGTTTACTTTCAGCAATGA